GGGGGGGGGATCCTGCTGCAGGCCCTTAGGCTCCTAGACAAATGATCTCTGCATTCCCAGAGCCCGGCACACACTGGGTGCTCAATAAAAGTCTGATGAATGAATGACTGAGGCTGGGCGACTGGGAGGGAGGGGAGGTAGTGATTGATCAAGAAGGGGGGAATTCAGGAGTCACAGCTCCAAATGAGCCAAGATGACAGCAGCTGGGGAGCCTGTGCTTGCGGGCAGTGGTAGCTGGGAAGAGGGCGCAGTCACACTTGAGTCCCCACCCTTACTCCAGAGCCAACTGTCCCAGGAATTTTGGGCCAAAAGGGTAAGGGTGATTGGCTGAAGAGAAAGCTGGGAGCTATTTTCACAAATAGTTCTTTGAAGCTATGCTGTCAGAATAGACTAGAACAAGGAGACAAGCTTTCGAGAAGTGAGGAATTAGGTTAGAATCTGAAGAGCATCCAAAGTTAGACAGGAGTGAGTAACCAAAGGTGAGCTTCTCCTCTGCAGCCTTTAATAGGACAGCCGGCCATCTGTTTGGATGAGGGAAGGTCTGGTCTTCAGGGAGCCAAATCTCAGTTGTTCTAGCCAGGGGCAATGGGCTCCACAGTCACAGCCCCTGGCCTTGGGTGGGAGGTGGGGAGCACAGGGAGGACAGAGACCCAATCAGGCAGACCCTTGGTGTGCACTCCCTTCCTCCCATTTGTCAGGGGAAGTTTTTAATTAATGGTGTGTAATCTGATCTGGCCCTTCTCCCTGCTGAGCACTGCTTTCAATCAGCAGAGCCATCTGCAATTGCAATTCATAATTCTCCTCAAAGGGAGGGGGACTCCGGACGGGTGCCTTGGTGATTAATACAATTAGCCTTTTATGTTGATGATTGTCTTAGCAGGAGCAGATGATGCCGGCGCAGAGCCTAGGCTGTTGCTTCCCCATTGGCTGGCAGGAAGCCCCTCTCCGCTTCCCACCCCCACTGCTACCTCGGGTATAAAGAGGACAGATCTAATCTGGGACTACACTGGGAAAGGGGGAGAGCCCACGAAGGGGGCAGGTTCTGGGACACATTTTGGGCCCCTCAGACTGAGGGGAGAGGAGGAGCTAGATGATGATCCAGAGACTTACTTTGCAAAGAAAATCATTTTGACCTAAAGGATTCTGTACACCAAGGTTAAAAGGCTACAAAACGGTACACTAAGGGTTGAAAGGGTTGAAAGAGTTTAAATACAGGCTCAGGCACTTAAGAGCTGTGTGCACTTGAGCAAGTTACTTAAGGATCCTGAGCCTCACTTTTCTCATCTGGAAAATGGAGTCTGTTCCCAAGAGGCCGGAAGAACTACGTGGGGAGGTGTTCCGCACCAAGCCTGGCACAGTCAGGTCGCAATCAGCGGTGGTGGATTTCATCCGTCGCAGTAGGCTGCCATGCCCTCTGCCAGCGAGTCTGGCTGTTTTTCCTGTGGTTTCTAACACAGCCCAGCTATCAGTAAAGAAGGAATCACTTCCTCTCCACAACCCAGGCTTAGCTTGAGCAAAGGAGAGAGTATGTGAGTATGAGTGTGTTTGGGAGTGGAGGACCCCGAGGAAAGAGTCAAGAATCAAACCCAAGAAAGAGAAATAAGGACTCCTCAGAACAGAGACCTGGAGCACTGCAGTGCTGGGAGCTGGTTCGGGGAAGATGCAGGGAATGAGGGTAAGGAGGCTAGGCGGGTATAAAGGGCTAAAAAGAAGTAGGGCTTGGAGCATCTGGAATCTCATATGGCAGCTAAGTAAACAAAAAAGGAGCAGTCATGAGCTGAGGGTTTAAGGGGCAGCACAGATTAAAATCTGTGATCTTTGATTTGTAGTAAGGTCAAGTGATCAGGAACAAGCTTTTTTTTTTTTCAAAGAATAGTTTATTAGATTTTTAGAGAGAGAAGATGGAGGGAGAGGGAGAGAAACATCGATGTGAGAGTGTAACATCAATCAGCTGCCTCCTACATGCCCCTTCCCAGGGATCAAGCCACAACCCAGGTATGTGCTGACTGGGAATCAAACCAGCCACTTTTCTGTGCATGGGATGACGCCCGACCAACTGAGCCACACTGGCCAGGGCCTGACTGGGGTTTTGATGGGAGACTCCACTGGGTCAGGAGAGGGGATCATCTCAGTCTCCCTGGGCCCCCAAGTGCTGTTCTCCAAGATCTGGAGCTGCATGAGAGGAGAGCTCCTTATCAAAAGAAATGTTAACCTGCAGCCAGTGCCAGGCCTGGCAATGTTGGTGGGGAGGGGAAGGGGGGGCTAATCAAGATGAAGCATTGGGCC